TTAAGTATCTTCAGTTGGAGAAAATCAATTTACTTCTTTGAAGAGGCTAGAATGGAAAGTCGTGAGCCTGAAACTTACTTTCTTGCCAATTTCACTGATAAATAAAGCAACTCTGTCTTGGCACTTTGCCCTGTATTGGCTGCGCCCAACGATGCCATTAATTGATTTGGGTGGCTGGCCCTGGAACAGTACTTATTAAGGTTCCCTCTGGAGCAGGTCAGGTGGGATGACACAGGAGCCATAGGTATGTGGGACCCATTTCCTAGGAGGGTGACTCCAGACCAATGACCAGAACCCAGGCATCTGTTGACTAAGTCCAGAGAGACAGGAGAAGGGCCTGAGAATCAAGGCGGTATTTTGGCTTCTTCCCTCCCTGCCTCAGGGCAGAGGGAAACTTTTCAGGGATGTGCTCCAAGAATCTCAGAATAGCCTAAGGATAGAAGGTCAGGACTTACAGGGAACCAGAGACTGTGAACGAATGTGGTTGAAAATGGGACCTCCTAGGGAGTCCTGGTGTGGTGCTGTGGGTTAATGCGCCAGACTGCAAAGCCATTTGAACTGCAAGGTCGGCAGTTCAAGTTAACCGGCTGCTCCTTGGAAACCTTATACAGGGTCTCTATGGGTCGGAACCGACTCGACAGCATTTCACAACAACAAAGGGAGTTCTGGTGTGGCACTGCAGGATAAGCACTGGACTGCAAGGTTAGTTTGAACTGAAAGGCCAGTGGTTCAAACCCACCAGCTGCTCCTTGGAAACCCTATATAGGGTTGTTATGAGTCAGAACCAACTTGACAATACTTAACAACAACAACTAAGATAAAGGACAAGTATCACTGACTAGTCATTGTTGTTAAGTGCCATCGAGTTAGTTCAGACTTATAGCAACCCTGTATGGGGTTTCTGAGGAGTAGCTGGTAGGCTTGAACTGCTGACCTTGTGGTTCTCAGTCCAGTGCTGATTGTACGGCACCACATCAGGAGTCTAGGTGGCCATTACAGGGCAGCAAATTTTAGATCTATCTCTGTAAAGGTAGTGGAGGTAGTGATTTGTCCACACTGGAGGTGAGAAAGTTTACTGTAATATCTTGAAGCAGCCAGGTGATACTTCACTTCTTGCTGCCACCTCCCATTGCAACTGCCCTGGCGCTCTGGTTTTCTTTCAAATCTTCCTCATTTTGTTCCTTCACCTACTCATGGCTTCACGTGTCTTTCCTCAAAGCCCATCTGTCCCAACACTTCCCCCAACCTCCAACTGAAATTTCTGTCTCCATTTATGGTGTCTTGTTACTGGAAAGAGCATATGTTTTAGTGTCAGGCAAGTCTGTGTGCGTGAGGAATAGGGTGGTGGCACAGAGAGAAAATTGGAGAATCTTTGTCAAGATTCTTCTGTCAGGACCTGAGATTTGTTAGATGAGTGACTGGGGAAATAAGTTAATAAGATGGGAATGGTGGATGGATGGTTGTTGTTGTGTGCCGTTGAATTAGTTTTGACTCATAGAAACCCTGCATAGGGTTTCCGAGGCTATAAATCTTTACAGGAGCAGAAACCTTCTTCTTTCTCCCACAGAGCAGCTGGTGGATTTGAACTGCTGAACTTGCATTTAGCAGCTCAACATGTAACCCGTTATGCCACAAGCACTCCCAGATGGATGGCAGAATGATGGATAGATGGGCTGAGGGATGCCTGGGTAGATGCCTGGGTGAGTGGGTAAATAGTTAAGAGACTAGGTGGATAGTTAGATCGTTAGTTGAATGAATTAGTGGGTAGATAGTATGTGGGTGAGTTGGTAAAAGCATGAACAAATGAATGAGGAGATGGATGGATGATTGATCAGTCGATTACTCAATCAATTGAAGATTTAATGGGTGGATGTTTTAGGGGACATAAGGGAAAAGGGCCTTATGTATCGCTGGTTCCCATCTCCAGTGGAAAGGGGAGAATTTGGAGACCAGGGGAGAGGAACTGGGATGGCAGGTGTTACTGAAGGGAGAATGGTATTTAGGTTGTAGGAACCAGGATGTTGAAGTGTCTGAGAAGCGTGTGTATCTAATGACGCAGGGGCATTTGGACTTGGAGAATCTGATTGTAGGAATAACTGGAATTGATGATTATCTGAGAAAGCAACTGTATTGGGAGCAGAAGTAGCTTGAGGGAATGTGAGAGTGAGAAAGTATATTAGTTTTCTCTATCTGTGGCACTGTGGGATGAAGCCCTGGACAGCAAGGTCAGTTTGAAGCACAAGGTCAGTGATTCAAACTCATCTGCCGCTCATTGGAAACCCTATGCAGGGTTGCTATGAAACAGAATGACTCGATGGCTCTTAACAACAACAACATATAATAAAATAAACAACATTTATTATCTTACCATGGCTGTGGGTCAGGAATCCAGTGCAACTTAGCTGAGTCGTCTGGCTCTGGGTCCCTCACAGGCTACTCTGAGTTGCAGTGTCACTGAGGCTATGTGATCTCAAGGTAGATCCTATAAGAGAATCTGATTCCGTGCTCTGGAGTTGTTGGGCTAAGGCTTCAGCTCTTCACTGACCATTGGCCAGAGACTGCCAGTGTTCCTTACCACACACATCTCTCCTGAGGGCAGCTCACCGGATGCTAACTCGCTTCCACCAGAGAAAGCCAGCAAAATGGAAGTCTGATCCCTTATATCCTAAATTTGGAAGTGCCATCACTTTGGGGAGAAGTTTGATTGAGAAGATACTAGGTCCTCAAGGAAAAAGGACTACCCAAGGGAGAGAATACCAGGAGGCAGGGATCCTTGGGAGCCACTGAGAAGCCATATGCTACGGCACAAATCTGAGGAGGAAGAGTAGCAAAGTCAGAAAGGAATGGATGGAGTAAAAGACGTTGGAGGTGGGAGAATGTGCACATCAGAATTGTCTAGAAAATAAGAAACGTCAGGGGCTAAGGAGAGCTAGAAATCAGGAAGGCTTGGGAGGGTGGCCTGGTTGGGTTTGGAGAAGCTCTGGCCATGAGTCAGTGGAAGTGGATGAGTGCTGGGAAGTGGAAAGGATGCTGAGCAGACAGACTATCTGCAGATCACCAAAGCTTTGGAGGCAAGAGCTGCAGCAGAGAGGGAGTTGCTGTGGAGCAGGAACAACTGAACGCCAGACACACAGGGTGGGGAGAGCTGGGAGCAGTCTGAGGCTTTGATTTGGGGACAGATGAATGTCAAGGCAGGGGAAGCGACTGCTCATCCATGAAGTTGCCCAGGCCCTATACCCCAGGGAGGCCTTCTCAGTGCCCTGTTGATTCTAAGCTGGAATTCCAAGTGGGGAGCCTGCCCACAGCTTTCGGGGCTCCTTCCTGTCCTCATTGCCTCACGCTCCAGGTGGGCTTGAGTCTCCAGGCACCCATTTTTGGAGTGGCAGACCAGAGCTAGAAAATGCCCAAGAGAGGAAAGTGAAGGTATACTTTCTCCCCAGGCCCCCCACCCCACCCACCTGTGAAGCAGGCACAATTCCTCCTCATCCCAAGCCCTGCACCAGCCTGTTGGAGTGCACCCATGCTGTCAGGCACACCGGAGCTGGGCTGAGTGCCAGTCAGACAGGCTGACATCACAGACAGGCACAGCCAGACTTGGAAACAGCCGGGACAATGGGGCCTACAGAGCCACCTGCTCCCTTGAGCTCAGCGGGGGTAGGGCCAGTCTCTCCAGGGAAACAGGCAGGCAGCTGGCAGCCACAAAATTCCCAAGAAAACTTGAGTGCCACCACCCTGCCCTACTCCATCTCTTCAGATCACAGAGTCTACTCTGCTCCAAGGCTGCTCTCCTGGCCCCAGCATCCTCTCTGAGTTTCCCTGGCCAGGTACAATATCAGCCCTGATCTCGGGGGTGCTGGTTCTGCTGTGTTGCAGGGTCCAGCCCAGGACTTTCTGGCCATAAGCCATAAGGAGGGGCCCACAGACCACCTGCTCTAACTGCCGCCACGTCTCTCCTCTCTGCAATTCCCACCCTGCCTCTCACTGTAGTAAAGTAGAGCAGACAGGATCCCTTCCTTCAAACGACAGCTTTCCCTGGAACACAGCATCAAAGATAGGGATCTGCTCTGTTGATGTAGGAGCGGGGCTGAGAACCCATGGAGCAAGTCCTCATTAGTACCTCCCTCCTCTCACCCCGGCAGTGGTTCCTGGGAGATGGTAGCCACATGGTTAAGAGCTTGAACCAGACAGATTTTTAGTATCCAGGTAACCTTAGGCAAATTACTCAGTCAGGCCTCAGTTTGCCTGTCTGTAAAATGGAGCTGATGATAGTACCTGTCTCCTGTGATAGCTATGAAGAATTAATGGGCTGCTATAGGAAGGAGCTCTGGTAGCGTAGTGGTTGCGTATCGGGCTGCGAACCTTAAGGTCAGCAGTTTGAAACTACCAGCCTCTCCGTGGGAGAAAGATAAGGCTTTCTACTCCCGTAAAGATTTACACCCTCGGAAACTCGGAAACCCTGTACAGGGTCGCTATGGGTCGGAACCAACTCGATGGCACTTAACAACAATAACAATAGGTAAAGCACTTAGGAGAAAGTCTGTATATAGTCATTGTTTAATAAATGTTCAAACCAAACCCATTGCCATGAAGTCCATCCTGATTCATGTTGACCCTATGTAGGGTTTTCAAGGCTGTAAATCTTTACAGGAGCTGCCAGCCTTATTTTCTCCAATGGAGCAGCTCATAGGTTTGAACTGCCAACCTTTTGGTTAGCAGCCCAGTGCTTATCCTATAGCACCAGTTAGTGTGAAAACCACTTCTGTGATGACATAGAATCACAAGTTTCTAGGTAGGTGGACTTGAGTCTGAATCTCGGCTTTGTCGTCTACCAGCTGTGTGTTTGGGGACCTGTCCTTCCAGAGCCTCAGTTTCCACATCTGATCAATGGGTTGGGTGGCACTCCTTACTCTGAGGACTGTAGACAGAGTTCATGTAGTGCTTAGTCCTTGGTGTGCCCTGTATGTAACTGTATGTGAATGACTCCTCCCTCTGTGGCTCAGAAATCCAAGATCTCCACCTTCGAGAAGATGTGGGCCTTCATGAGCAGCAAGCCCTCGGCTCTGGTGAAGAATAATGAGGAGGGCATCCAGAGGACCCTGACCGCGGACTACGCACTGCTCATGGAATCCACGACCATCGAGTACGTCACCCAGAGGAACTGCAACCTCACCCAGATTGGGGGTCTCATCGACTCCAAGGGCTACGGCATTGGCACACCCATGGGTGAGCGAAGGGACCACAGGCGGGAGGGTGGGCGTGTATACACAGTGTCTGCCTCACTGTCCCCGCTGGGTCCATTCAGTCTAGAGAGTTGACATTTACTCATCCACAGAGGGATGGAAACCTGGACCTCGTGAGGTCAGCCCTGGACTATGCAAATAGGAACTGGACAAAACCACAGTGGGAGGAGTCGATTCTCAGAAGTCATGCCCATCTCCCTCACCCCACCCTGTGGCTGGTTACAGCACAGATGCATAGGGCCATTCAGGACCCTGTGGGTCACCGCACCCCTACTGATGCAGCTTAGCTGCTCTGGACCTGCCAGGGCTCTGTGGGCCCACGTATTCCTGAGCTAGTCCCGTCCTCCCTGAATTAGGACATAGATTTAAAGAGGGACCTTGCAGTGGTGGGGTCCTTCTGTTCATGGGGCTCTACGTGGGGTGAGGATGGTGGCGAGCACAGAGGCTGCCCTGCCACTGACAGCAGGGTCCCTGTCCCCCACTCAGGCTCCCCGTACCGGGACAAGGTCACCATCGCCATCCTGCAGCTGCAGGAGGAAGACAAGCTGCACATCATGAAGGAAAAGTGGTGGCGGGGCAGCGGCTGTCCGGAGGAAGAGAACAAAGAGGCCAGCGCTCTGGGCATCCAGAAGATTGGGGGCATCTTCATCGTCCTGGCCGCTGGGCTGGTCCTATCTGTGCTGGTGGCTGTGGGCGAGTTTGTGTACAAGCTCCGTAAAACAGCTGAGCGAGAGCAGGTGAGACTGCACAGAAAAGAGAGAGAAGAAGAAGGGCGGGATTTCTGCTGGGTTCACACCTCCTCTGTGCCAAGCCAAGAGCCTTGGTGGCACCATGGTGAAAGTGCTCAACTGCTAACCAGAAGGTTAGTGGTTTGAATCTAGCAGCAGCTCCTCTGGAGAAAAATGTGGCAGTCTGCTTCTCTCAAGACTTGGAGCTTTGGAAACCCTGAGAGGCAGTTCTACTCTGTCTTTATAGGGTCCTCCTGAGTCACAACCAACTCGACGCCAGTTGGTTTGGTTTTCTGGTTTATGTGCCAAGCACAGGAGGCCCTGGTGGCCCAAATGACAAAGCACGGGGCTAGTAACTGAAAGGTTGGTAGTTCAAACTTACGTCGAGGCTCCTCGGGAGTAAGACCTAGCAATGTGTCTCCCAAAGGCCACAGCCTTGAAAGTCCTAAAGAGCAGTTCTACTCTGCAGAAGTGCAACAGTAACCAGCAATGTGCCAGCCACTCTGCTGTCTCATCTCACTCCCCTCTGTGCCCTCTGTGTCTGGTCCATCAGGAAATGGCTGCCAGTTGTGCCTCTCACCCACGCACCGATTCTGACCACCTTTCCCCATTGCTGTCGCTCCACCCTAGGCCAAGCCCCCACCACTCCCAGCCTGGACCACACACCAGTCTCCAAGTCGGCCTTCCTGCCTCCATGCTCCTCTCTGCCTGTCACTCTCCAGACAACAGCAGTGCCCTTTCCATAGCGAATCCAAACCATATCCTTCCCCTGCATCGAGGCCTCCAGGGTAATTGTTGAAGCTGGGTGATGGTTACATAGGGCTTCATTATACTGTTCCCTCTACTTTTGCATAGATTTGAAAATTTCCATAATCAAAAGTTTAAAAAAAGAGTTAAGAGGGCCGACCCAGGCATGCAGGCGGTAGACCAAGGCTCAGCCTGTCTGATTAATTCAAGTGTGGTTGGGGCAGTGGCTCTGGGCTCTAGCTGCAAATTAGAATCACAGGAAGAGAATTTTTTAAGTGCTAATGCCCTGGCCTCAGTCCCAGAGATTCGGTTTTAATTGGTCTAGATGGGGCCTGGCATTGGCAGCTTAAGAAAGAGTACAGGGTGAGTAGAGGGTGCACATCCTTGTAGAGGGCTGCTGGACTTGGGGGAAACCTCCCACTCACAGTTCAAAGGGATGCAGGTCCAGCATGGAGGGAGGTGCCATTTAAGACATGCGTGGAAGAGACCATTCAAAGGGAGCCGCTTATACATCCATCAACGTGAGATCCTTCAAACCAGTGAGCAAGCTCAAGTCCACAAAGAAGAGGGGAATGCTGATACTCACTTAGCAGGAGGGTAAGGAAAAGGATACTCCCCTGTGTTGCTGAGGGGAATCCAAGTGGGCATATCACTAAACGCACCCTCACAGTGTGTTCTTCGGAGTCTTTCAAAGTCTCCGTACACATTGAAGAGTCAGGTTTGACTTTTAACAATGCACTCTGTGGAAGTGCTAAGGGTAGGTGTTGTTTTATTCACAAGGATGTTCGTTGAAGTGTTCATTAAAACATGAAAAACTGGGGGGGAGAACAAAATGTCCAGCAGTCCCCACTTCCATCCAGTCCATTCCAAACCCTATGTAGGGTTTCAGAGACTGCAAATCTTTGCAGAAGCATAAAGCCTTTCTCTCTCCCAAGGAGCGACTGGCAGATTCAAACTGCTGACATCATAGATAGCAGCCCAATGTGTAACTAAATGATACCGTATCAAACACAGCAACCACTAAATTCTTGAAGGAGTCCCATTATTACAGTTGGAATGCACTCCAAATTCTACACTGGAAGCAAAAGGCTCTTGCCCACCTCTCTGAACTCCTTTCTACCCTTTCTGTCTTCCTTCCATTCCTGTCTAGTCTGTAATATGCCAAGGGCATTTCTACCTCAGGGCTTTTACACCTGCTACTCTGCTCACTGAGAATGCTCTTCTCCCAGAACACCAAGGTTTCAGCTCAAAGGCCACCTCCACCTGGCCCACTCCCAGCTTCTGTTTTATTCCCTCCACAGTCCACATCACTCTCAGACATTCTGTGTTGGCTCATCTGCTTATTGCTTTTTTCAATCCCATTATTACATCATGAACTCCCTGAGGGCCTGGATGTTGTCTTCCTCACTGCCTTATCTCTTGCACCAAAACTGTGTCTGGCGCATAGCAGGGTCCCATAAGTACATGTGGAAAGGGAAGGAAGGAGAGATAATAGTCTGCATTTAGTGGGTGAGAAAGGGAGGCTCAGAATAGAGCCAGAATTCAAAGCCAAGTGCCCATTTTCCTGTTCCACCTGACTTGCACATAGCAGTCTGGGTGATAGTGCTACTAGGTAAGTTGAGGCATGGACAGTTCCCCTCCTTACAAGCCACAGGTCAACCTCTGGTAGTTGGTCTCATAGAAGCCAGTGCACCTGAGGCAGCCTGCACTCCCGCTGTCCCTCTTGGCCACCCACAGGGACCTAGATTCAGGGCCCCTGACACCCAAACACACTGCAGGGAGCACCTCCCAGTTGCTCACCTTGAGAAAGTAGACTTTCTAGAGTGGAGGAGGGGACTGCTGGTCCTTAGCTGGAAGCTTTTCTCGGAGCTTCCACTCTAGTGGTTTTGAGCCCTGATTCTGGACCAAGCAAGTGCAGGAGGTGGGGCTCACAGAGATGATCCTGGCTGTGTCTTGCCTTCTGAATCTAAAGGAGGAAAACTCAGGCAGGCCAACTAGAGCTCTTCAAACTTTACTGTGTGTGCCCATCAGCTGGGGATCTTATTGAAATATAGATTCTGATTCAGCAGGTCTGGGGTGAGACCCCTGGCCCAGAATATCTAACCCACTTCTGAGTTCTGGTGATGCAGCTGGTCCCTGGCCCACATCTAAGCTGTCTTGATGTGGGGAGGCGAAGGGAGATGAGCTCTCAGAGCCCTGAGAGAGCAGAGGACAGGGTTTTGTATCCTGGCCTTGCTTCTTGATCTTGGATAGTCCCTTCTCTCTAAACCTCAACTTCCTCATCCGTAAAGTGCGGATAAGGTGATAATACCTGTTCTACCTATGTTAGTTTCCAAACTGCTATACAAACTAATCATTTTGCAGGAGTCCAAGGGGTGGGTAAGGTGAAGGTATTAGAAAGATGGCGGGAAGAAGGGGCGGAGTCGGCTGGAACACCCGGACCAGGTCTCACCTTTGTGCCTCTTTTCCTCCAGCGTTCTTTCTGCAGCACCGTGGCCGATGAGATTCGTTTCTCCCTCACCTGCCAGCGTCGCATCAAGCACAAACCCCAGCCTCCTATGATGGTCAAGACTGATGCTGTCATCAACATGCACACGTTCAATGATCGCCGGCTTCCAGGCAAGGACAGTGTGACCTGCAGTACATCACTGGCTCCTGTGTTCCCCTAGGCACAGGCCAGGTGGGGACCTCAGGTCGGAGGTAGGGCATAGGAAAGCAAAGGAGCTTGGAAGGAACGTCCCCTGTCTCCCTACGCTGGGCTTGGGGATCAGAGCTGCTGCCTGTCTTTTGAGCCAGGAGCTCCTGTGCCCTCCCTACCAGGAAACCAGCAGCCTCCGGCCAGCTGTGTGGGTTTCATTTGTCTCTCATTTCTTCTCTGGATTTCTAAAGCTACCAGCTGAGACAGCCAAGGCCAAAGGAAGCACATGCCTCTCTCAGGCCAAACTCACCCGCTCTTCAACTCTCCTCTGAAGCCAAGTGTGTCTGCCATGGCCCTGCAGAGGCCAGAGGAAATGGGAGACAGCTCGTGTGCTGCCTCGCCTTCTCTATGATCCCAGGCCTCCTAGGACTTGACCATGAGACCAGAGACGCAATCCTTGGGCGCCTTAAAGATGTTATTGTGTGGTTGTCGGTGGGAGCTGATGATGAGAGATGGTCATTCACGTGCCTGGGCAGAAGAAAGACTGTAGCCCTCAGGAACTACTCACATGAAAGTGGTCGTGCAGCCTTCGTCCCAACTATGGCAGCCCCTGTCTTGGTAAAGTCAAAGGCTGAGAGCCAATAAGGGAAAAAAGGAAACAACCTGGTGTAAGGAAGAGAGGGAAATGGTGCAGACAGAGGCTGCCATTTTGAATTCTTATGGACAGTGTCCCAATCACTCCAATTCCTCGAGGAAGTCCCTAGGAGTAGAAATGGAGGAGTGGTGGCAGCAATTTCTCCTCCATTTTCTGGACACAGGGGAGTGGACTCCTTACGTCCCTCACAGAGGATGCCCAGAGACTCCGTCCAGCAAAGAAACAGTGGAGTCCATGGAAATGCCACAGATCCATGCCAATAGATCTTACCTTGCTGGTTACCAAGCTGTTTTCTAAACCCTTTTGGCAATTGGGAGCTTGGGCTCTTTCCCATCTACTCATCAGCAACTCTTCATTCCTGGTCAATTAACCCTGGTCTCCCTCTGTCATCTTGGAAGGAGAAGAATAGCCTTGTCTAGGTTGAAGTGAAAGCCAGATCGCCCCTCCTCAAAATAAGGGCCAGTGCTCTACTATACAAGCCAACATTGGGGTAGGTAAGGCAAGCCAAAGGGGACCCAAAGAGCTCCTGGTCTCCTGGACTAGCCAAACCTAAAGATGATCCCCCAAGTCAGAATGTTTTCAGGGGCAGAATATATAGCCTGCAGAGCCCCCAAGATGGGGAGGGAGAACAGCTTCTTGGAAATTAACCAAAGACCCCACACAGAGACACAAGGTCATCCTGGCCCCTCGTCGCTTGTCCAGAGCAGCTATGACCTGTGGGCATTAGGGAAGACAGCACAGTAGTAGCAGCAAATGAGGGCCCAGAGAGAGGGTAGAACAGATGAGCTGTGATAGTCTAGAGGTTGTGATTTGAAGTTTCTGGACAAAAGCGAGACATAGAAGGGTTGGGAACAAAGTGTCCTTAAAGAGAACATGAAGGGGCCAGCAGAGCTTCTCATCCATGGTCAACTTCAGAGGGTCTTTGAGTAGTGGATGGAGGCTGGACATTCTGGACAGGGGACAAAGACCCCCAGCCACTCCGTCTCATCTCTCTCCTATTTCTGCCTGGGAAGCATTGTTAGGGAAGAGCTACCTTTAGATCCTAGGGATCTCCTCAGCTGGGGTGAAGGGTAATCTCTAGCTCTCCCCAGGGAGAAAACCACAGTGGTCTCATGTGATAAAGACTGTCCTTCCTCCATACCAGGAGCTTCAGGATCATAGCAGCTCAGACAAGCTGTGTACGTTGGCGGAGGAAGGACAGGACTGTCTGCACAGCAAGCCCAGTGCATGTAATGATAGGAAAAGCCATGCGTTTGATCTTCTGAGTATAAGGGTTCATGTGTGTATGAACGAATGTGCAAGTGTGTGCTTGTGCACAAGCTTTGGGGGCTGAGGGTGAAGAACAGATTTAGGCATGCAGCATAGTCCAGGGGATGCAATAATAGGAGAATCCTTTTGGGCCTGGTGTGTAGGGTGTGTGTGTGTGTGTGTGTGTGTGTGTGTAAAGAAAACAAAGGAGGTAAATCTGGACAGACAGTAGAGCCCCATACATGTAGAAACAGGAGAAGCCATGTCACGTTGGGGTTGGGGAAGTACACATGCATATGCATGACTGTATGTTTTGGTGTGTGTTTGTGCTGTGTGCTGACTGGCAGAGGGTGGAGGACAAGATACAATATGAGCATAGCTTAATGTGTGTAACAGGAAAAGCCATGTCATCAAGGGGTCCCCATGTGTGTGTATGGGGAGGGGGCTTGTGGGAACCACGGGGTGCAGTGGTCAAGGAAAGCACCAGGCAGGCAGGCAGCATCGGTCAGTTTCTATTACATGTGAAAAGTCACATGCCATCGGAGTTCGTAAGTGTGTGTGTGAGAGTGCTCAGACACACGTAGTGAAATGCTCACCGTGGGAGCAGGGATGGACAACCAGCGAGGCAGGAAACCAGGGTTTGTTTGTGCTCCTGTCAAAGGGACAGTTACTTGTCACAATGATTTGCCAGGATGTTGCTCGCGTACACTGGCCAAGTGGTTGGAAACACTTCCGGGACTCATGGATGGTGATATCTTTGCTCTAGGTGAAGGGGTCTTGTTTGAAGGGGAAGCAGATTTTTTTCCCTCACAATTCCCAGATAACAGGATTCTAATGAAGGCATTTTTCAATGCGCTCCCATCAATCACAGCTGTTAACCACTGCCTTAGTTCATCCAGTAGGATTTCGTGGCACATGCCCACATGCATGGTCACCTCACACACATGTGTATGCATGTGCTTTCATGCATGATGCTGTGTGACTCTGTTACATTCTTCTGAGGCTATGCACAGTCCAGATTGGGATGGGAGGAAGAAGAGGAAGTGGTAGGGGTCAGCAAACTGTTAAAAGAAAGAATGAAGACGATGGATAATCAGAAGCACAGCTCCAATGGGTAAATCCCTCAAAATGTGTTGATGATTCTTCAACTTCTAGACAGAAGTGGAAGTCATACTAAATGACCTCCCCTTGAGCCTTACAACCACATGGGTGGCTAATGTCCAACCTTTGGCTAAGGTCCTGTGTGTCTTTGAGACTAGACCAATGTTCCAAGTGGAGTGGAGCCCAAGTGTGAACTGGGTCTCTTCCCAGGCCATTTTGTACTGAAGGCGCCTTTACATCTGTGAGGTGTGTGCATGGAGTTGTGGAGGCAGTGGGGAGAAGGTGCTTTCAGCAAAATGAATCAAGGAAAATAAAAGTGCCAGTGGACATGGAGCCAGAGCTGTAATGGATGCGTGCGTGTGTATGTATATGTGTGTATACACACACACACACATCACACACACATGAGACGCTTAGGTTTGTAGCTGGGGTGATGGAAGCATGAAAGCTTTCGTGGATGGAGCACACAATGGGACTTGCCTGAGGAGATGCTGAACTGTTCATGTCTAGTCCCACATACCCTGAGCAAAAAGAGAACCCTCATCTCTGTGCCAGCCTCCCATCCTAAAATGCCACTGCCTTCTCTCAACCTGACAAATTTAGGGGCAACAACGAAGAGAGCCTGGAACATTTGGACAATGAACCCTCCAGTCTCTCTCCTTGGCCTGTTGCTGGCCACTCTGCTGTGGATAGAAGAGAAAACTGTAAGCTTTTGTCATGGTTCATGTGGCCCCATCCTGTGAGTGTCTCCCCTTGATCAATGAGCTGGACTCAGCATCTCTGAGGGGTAGGAGGGTCTCCCTCTCCTCACAGTCACATCTCTGCCTCAACTGGAAGAGCACATCCTAGCCCCCTCTAATTCCCTGGGCATTGGAACATGTCAACTCTGGCCCTGGAGAAAGGGTGAAGTCTGATACCATTGGACAAAGACTCCACATGGTTGAAAGTTGTCCCCCCAGCCCTTAAACTCACAGAGCGCAGAAGTCAGACCCAGGCACAAATTCATCAGAAGAATTCGAAGCTCCCCTCCTTGTCTTTTCTCAAGGGGTGGTGTTTGGGATCCTGAACTATCTTCATCACTCAGCATGAAGTTGATCCCTTCCTTAGCCATTCCCAGTTTTATGCACAGAATCTGTAGGTGCTGTGTGGTCCATGTCTGGAATGATCCTTGTGTGGATGGCCATCTGCGAAGGGACTAGCAGTTGAAACAAACAGCTGTGTGAACAACTATCTGGGATGGCCCAGCACCATGAGTAGATGTAAGTAAGGACTCCAGCTCTGTAGCCACGTGCCTGGAATAGACACCTCTAGACGAGTCCTAGTTTAGGTGGACACTTCTGGAATAGGTCCAGCTGCTTGCCAGAGAAGGATTCTGTCCTCTGCCCCCAGTGCCAGTTTGAATCAAGCCCTCATTTCAGTCCTGGGCTTGCCTTGGGGCTAAAATTTCAGAGCTGAAGTCATATGTGAAATCACAAAACTGTTTTTGGTGGAAGGTTCATGTTCTGTATAATATATATATGAATGTAAAAAGATATATATATATATATATACTGTATATATATACATATGCACAGTGTATATATGACCTGTAGCCCATGTGTATACGCACCCCTCCCCGCACGTCTGCACACAGAGTGTACATAACCCAGCCAGTTTGGGTGGGGACCAAGTGAGAGAGGGGTGCTGCAGCAGTCAGGTTTGGGGCAGGGGCTGCAGAGAGCCCTGGGGGTAGGGTGGGGTGGGGAGAAGGCCCTGCAGACTTCATACCTGCATAGCTTGCAGAAGAGGCTAAACCATGTGAGGCCAGCAGATGGGCCTTATACAGCAGGTGCCCTCCTGTGCGGGGAGCAGGATTGGCCCAAGGATCTGGTCTCTGTCTGACGGTCTGTCTGGGGCAGGACAGCTTGGCCTGTGTCTGGGAAGAAACGCCATGCTGATACTTGCCTCCTGTGGTAGTACCACATTTGTCTAGTCAGTTCACAGGGAGCAGAAAGACTGGGAGAGTGGGGCCACTCCCCAGACGTGCT